TACCCCTGTTCTAGACGGATCTAGATGGTTCATATGTAGCTTGATAAACTATTTCATTTATTTAATCTTAGTTTTTTTCCCCTCATTCTCCATCCTCCTTCCCCAAAACTATTCTGAAGGATTGATAACTCTCTAGAACAGAGTGAGATGGGCTGCAGAAGCTGGGGAGCTTCGAAAAAGGAATTGCCTGATTTAAGTAAGATTTTCTTCCAGTAGAACTTCATGATAACAGTTCAGAAGTGACAACAATGCCTATTTTTCTTCTCTTACTTAGTTCTTAGCCCTGCCTATGGTCTGGGGATTTCCTGCTAGTTCACCATCCGAAGACCAATTGGATTTGGCCCTGCTTAGTTTTTTTCTAGATCAACTAATCGTTTTCATGAGTAGAAAATTGCTAAACTAATCACAGGTGTCTCTCCTCCCAAATGTATGCAGAGCATATTGTATGTGCAGATCAATTACACAGTTTGCTGAATGAATGGTATTGTGTCCTAATGCGCAAAATAACAGTTTGAACATTACCATGGGGAAAAAAAATGATGAAAGTTACCTAGCCTTATGTTCTATGCAGCAATGTAAAGCAGGAAAAAAAGATCAAACCTATGACCTAATTGAATATTTTGAAGCTAAACTATTGGTTATATTATCAAAAACATAGTCCAAAATGGAGTGATCAGCAGTCTTTGCTAGAATGTTTTTCTTTTTCTTTTTTTTTTACAAATTTTATTTATAATACAGTTAAAAACAAACAAACATTGGATCTAACGTGACATTCCAGTATATACATTCTTATCAGATTATTCCACTTTTTACAATCAATTCTTCATCTCTACATATACATCTAAGTTTTATATACAATACTTATTCTAAAATAACATATCTTTCTATCTTAACATTCATCTTTAATCCCAAACGTCCTCTTCGAATTCCTCCAGCGGTAAAATTTATCCCAGGTTTCATAATAAACTGATCCACATTTGTCTTTTAATATCATTGTGAGCCTGTCCATTTCCGCACATGCTAATATTTTATGTATTAACTCTTCCTCTGTGGGAATTTCCTTGTTCTTCCATTTTTGCGCAAAAGCAAGCCTAGCTGCAGTCAGGATGTGTAGCAGCAGGTAGATTGTTCCCTTGTCGTATTTTTCTGTCGTTATTCCCAACAAGAAGAACGTTTTTCTATGGTCAAGATTTCATTATTAGACAAAATAATCCTGGAAACAGCAGAACTTTTACTACAGGGGTGGCCAACCTTGGCAACATTAAGACTTGTGGATGTCAACTCCCAGAATTCCCTAGTTGGCAAAGATTGGACAGCCTTGATCCAGTACATACTGCAAATCTGTGAGTTTCAAAGGCAATTTGCCCAAATGCCTGTGAGTCAGGACCTTCAAAGAAAACCTAATAAAGAGCAAAAAAACCTGTCCTTAAAATTGTAATCTTGGAGCTCACAGTTTTTGGCCTTCAGCAGTAGAGATAAAATATGTTGGCTGCAAAAATTAAGAGGGCCAGAAGATGACAACAATAAAATACTAATAATTCTAGCTCTTGGCCACCCTCTGGTCTAGGGGTGTCAAACTGCCAGCCCGCGGGCCGGATGCGTCATGCCGAAACCATGCCCGTCCCATTGCCAGCAATGGGAAAAAGTCGTGATACGTTGCAACATGTCATGTGACATTGCAAGTTTGACACCCCTGCTCTAATCATTCATTATTAAGGATTTTTTCAGAACACAGATATGATCACTTTTACTGGCAAAAACATTTTGTGGCTTTAAGAAAAGAAAGTTACTTGCTGTTATGAGCTGGAGTATAGCTGCCATATTGGGTTCTTGATGTGAGAATGCTGGGCCTTTAAAACCTGTATGCATGATCCAGCTAAAGATTAATAAAGCCATATCAGGATCCTGAGAAAACTGCTTTGCCCATTGTGTGCTCACCATGGGATCAGTAAGGTAGATTCCATCCGGTAATGCTGTATTTTTTAAAGATGTATTTATTAAGCTTGTAATAAATTATCCTTTCATTGCCCCAGTAGGTTTGTGCAGATAAAAATATATACTGCAATTTGATATTTTAAAAATTTTGAAAAAAAACCCCACCTTTTATTGTGACTTAACTTTCAGTTTAAAAATAAGTAAACTCAAAATCTTAAATATAATCTTCCTGTTATCAGAATTTATCAAGCAAAAAAAATAATAATAGCCCAGCTTAAGGCAACAGTGCCACCAAGTGTTTAGCAAAAGAATACTTTTCACTTTAAAAAGTAATTATACTCTCATTTCATGTACATCTTGCATGTATGAAATTAACACTAAATTACAAAGAGGATACAAATATAGCCCCCTTAAGGGTAATTTATTTATTAAGGTAATTTATTTGGGTGGTGTTTGATTCAGAATTTTAAGCACATTTTTATATCTGGGTTTAAGCTGTATCAAACCTAATTTTTCTTCGTGAGCTCTGGGCAAAGCATTCAGTAGGGTTACTTCGCAAAGTTGGTTTAATGCTCCTTGAACCATCAGCACAACTATGTCCTCTGGCAGGTTGTCAACAAGTTAATATGTATGCACAGAAATTCCATCCACTGGAATCACCACCAATAGCCCCCAAAAATGGGACTATGCCTAGAGACCACAGGGGGGGAAAAAATCTTCAAAATAGTTGCACTCAACATTGTGGAGAATGTGGCTGCTTCAGTGCTTTAAGGAGAGATGCCCGACTTGTCCCAGTGCATTTTGACAAACATCCTGTCAAACCTTTTACACTAAACTTTTTTATATTAAAACTTGTCAAGTACACAATTTGTTTCTCATTCTATAAATAAAAACAATTAAAGGCAAGTGTTTATTCTGCTGGCTACTGCTTTTATTCCAGTGGGCTCAAAGTTGTTTATCTAAAGCCCTTGATCAGCCAAAGTCCTGTGCGCTGAGCTTGCAGCACCAGTATACACTAGTTCCTTCTGTAGATAAGCAGTGCCTAATGTCAGCATTGCCTATCTGTATTTCCAGACTGAATGAGTAATTTATTTTAACCCTTGTTGGCATCTTTCTATTTACTCTGTGGAATTTGTGTTTAGCAGAGCATGTCTGTGGGAGTAGAATCTAACTTTGGAGACAGTGCTCTTAGAATATTTAGAGAAAGAGATGCTTATGGTTCAAAAGTATAAGTAAAGTTTATTAAGGAAATTGTGCTCTGGGTATACATGGCTCCATTTCAGAGCTTTCTGTCCTCATGATGGTAAAACTGAGAAGGAAGCAGACAATACTTGATTCTTCCTGAAGAAAATAGATTGAAGGGGAGAACCTCAGTCCACCAAGGGACAAAAACCCAGACAATCAATGGTCAATGATAAATGGTCCGTGACAAAGGTCGATAAAATGTGCAAAGAATTTAAGCTTCTGAAGCAGAGGATTTCCAATGTTTGTCTAGCTGATAAGACACATCATTGAATGCAAAAGAGCTGAAAGTATTACAAAACAATATTATTCAGCAGTCAGGTTTTCATGGTTAGCTTGGTGTCAATAGATCCGTGGAACTTACTCAATGCAATGATAGATGTTCTAGGCTTATATATTTCAAACAGTAGCTCCTTAGATCTCATGGGAAAACACATTTGAAATATGGATTTTAAAGGAGAAGCAGTTAATGTCACCTGGATTCTGTTTATTTTGTGACAAATTGAAGTCACTTTTAAATGGGTACTTATTGTGGAACTGGTTCTATAATATGTAATTTAATTTTGTGCATTTTAATAACTTTTCTTCTTGCTGCTATTAATTTTTTATTGTTTGCTTTTTCAGTTTTATGCATTTTTTTCTTATTGCTTTTTATCATGTGCTTCTGTTGATTATATTGCCTGATTTTATGATTAGAATTTATATTAATCTACCTACATTTAAAAAGAACATGGGGTATTATTTTAATGCTTCATCGTATAAACTTCTAAATCTATTTTCCATGCCCACTTTAGCTTCAAAAAAATGCTTCTCAAAATAGCTTTTTTTTTCTTTTTGATAATTCAGTATTTGGGGGCTTGTGTAAAGTTTTTATTTTGCCTTTTGCATCAATGTGATGTATGCCTTGAGTTATATTAATGTAAGACTGCTCTACAGGCATAAAATGATTTTAGCCTATATGAGTTCTATAATGTATTACTATCCAAACATGAGCCGCATTCATAAAAACGTTGGCTATGTTATATTTGAACATGAGGAAATTAATTGTAATCTCAGAGACATCCATTTTAGTACTTTAGGTTCCTAGTTGTAAATAGTCCTATGTCAAATTAATTTTTATGGGCTTCCTTGATTATACTGATTGAGTTCCCAATGAAAAGTGTCCAGATGCTATAACTGTATTTTATAGATGGCAGAACTGGAGTGTGCAGCAGTTTAAACACAAGGAATACATTCACCATTATGTGTGCCAAGAAATCAATTCCCCTTAACTGAAATAGAGGAGACATGCCAAAGGTTGCAACTGATTGGGGGTGACCTGTTTCACAGATACCTGAAAAATGCCTCTTAATGGAAGATTAAACCTGCAACACCTATCTTTTGTTTGTGTCTTGTATTCAGGCTACAGTTATGAATCCTTAGATTGTGGAAAGATGAGCAATGTCACGTTTTCCTCTTGTGAGACTTCAAATTCCTCTTTTGCAGTAGAGGATCTCGAGCTGTTATCTGATCAGTCCATGCCGATTGGTAGAATCAGTTTGTAAAAGATATAGCATGTTTTATTTTGAAAGAGGTATTGGCACAGCGTGGCAGCTGTGTTGAATGTTTATCTAAAATGAGCCAGGTATGGTCAAGGTTAAAGTACAATAGTACAATAAGAGTAAAATGGCACCTGGAGTATTGAAGGCAGGCATGCTCAGATAGAGATTACAGAAAGTGCTGTTAACCATTTTTGTAGGCAGGGTGCCCTAGCTAGCGTGCATTTTGAATTGGGGACTAGCTTTCCGATGGAATATCTTTCATTAACTGTCATTGTGTTCTAGATGGGAGTTCATGTTGTGGATTCCTCTGTTTCGGGCTTAGGAGGCTGCCCGTACGCGAAAGGGGCCACTGGAAATGTGGCCACAGAAGATGTGATATACATGCTTAATGGCATGGGGATCAATACAGTAAGCTAATTTCCACATATCTATTCAATGCTGTGTAATTGCTGAAATTGCGGGTCATTGAAATAGCATAATGTGTCATGCCTGTTATATTGATTTCAAATAATATAATGCAAGGGTAGGCAACCTTGGCTCTTTTATGACTCGTGGACTTCAGCTCCCAGAATTCCTGAGCCAGCATGGCTCGGCTTGGAAACCTCTCCCTTTCCCCTCAGCCTGGCTGGCTCAGGAATTCTGGGAGTTGAAGTCCACGAGTCATAAAACAGCCAAGGTTGCCTACCCCTGATATAATACATTACGCTCTTTTACACCATGTATAAAAAGGCTGTACAGGTAGTCCTCGACTTAACAACATTTCATTTAGTGACCAAAGTTACAACAGCACTGAAAAAAGTGACTTATGACCATTTTTCACACTTACACCTGTTGCAGCATCACCCTGGTCATATGATCAAAATTCAGACACTTGACAACTGGCTCATATTTATGACGGTTGCAGTGTCCCGGGGTCATGTGATGACCTATCTGACAAGCAAAGACAATGGGGAAGGCAGATTTGCTTAACAATCTTGTTATTAACATAACATCTGCAGTGATTCACTTAACAACTGGCAAGAAAGCTTATGAAATGGGGCAAAAGTCACTTAACAACTGTCTTGCTTAATAACTGAAATTATGGTCAGTTATGGTCAGTTATAATCATAAGTCAAGGTCCATCTCTATAGATTTGATAAATGAATAAATCAGTGTACACTAATGTATTCTAGGACAAGAATCTGTCAGGGGATATTGACTTTTCCACAGAATAGGTATATCTGTGTTGCAAAGGAATTGCATAATTATTCTCCTGATCTTATGTATACATATGTGAATTTATATGTAAATCTAGCTAGTTTTCATCTCAGGCAATTCTAAAACTCTTTTTAAAACAGTTTTAATCCTTACTATTACTTGAATTCTACACTTTAGAATTTATTTTCTCACCAAATTATTTATTGATAGCACATACCGTACCATTTACTAAAATTAAACATTGCCCAGTGTTTATATTATTTTCATTTACATGTTCTTTCTTGGGTTGCTGCTAAAGAACACAATGGATCTTTTTCCTGTTTTAAAAACAGTTGTACTTTCAGATGAGCTGAGTGTTGAAGTCACAGTTAATTCCTCGTTTAGAACAAGGTTCACAATGATTAGATCAAATTATCAGTTTACTTTGGGAAAGCTCAGACCCAGCATCTACTCATGGTTGTGTGTAATTTTGCAAAGGTCAGCTCAATGAACATCTGGCAAGTGAACATTGGATTTAAGGTGCTGAAACATTTTTTTAAGGGTAACATGTATGAGTCAAAAGAATATTAGAATCCCAAAACAGTACTGTTTTTTCAGAAGTCTCTGCTCATCAGATTTCTTGCCAGTTTACTTTGTGCCTAGATGTACATTCAGTAAATTTACTTCCAAGTAGAAGTGTGTAAGGGATCTCAGTTTGAATCTGAAGTAAAAAGATGCTACTTTTAGATTCCCTAAGTAGTTCATTTCTTTTGTAGCAGGATTCTTTCAATTTCCTCCATCTCAAGCTAAAATAGAAATGGCCTTTTGCCAAATGACTTTAGACAAAACTAGACTTTTGGTCTAGTGGTGAAGGTGCCAGGCTAGAGACCAGGAGACTATGAGTTTGAATCCTGCCTTAGTCGACTGGATGACTTTGGGGCAGTCACTCTCTCTCTGCCCAATCCACCTCACAACAATAGCCACATTTAGGGTGCCACCACCAAGTGGTCCTGTTGCATTTCAAATCAAGCACCAGGAACTTCAGATGTTCTGGTTGTGTGCAATGAGTAAGGGTCTGAGCCAAATTTTTTAATTAAACTGAGGCCCAAACAGTATTAACACTGTTGTTTCAAGAGCACATGTGTAATATGATTGTATTTCTCTTCTCCTAGTTATCAGACTGGAGAGCCAGTTTGGTGTAGTGATCAATGCACCAGGCTAGTAACTGGGAGTCTGGGAGCTCTAGTCTCACCTGAGACAAAAAGCCAGCTGGGTAACTTTGGACCAGTGACTCTTTCAACCCTAGGAAAAAGACAAGAGCAAACTACTTCCAAAATCTTGTCAAGGAAACTGCAGGGAATAATCCAGACAGTCTCCAGGAGTCAACACTAGCTTGAAGGCACAAAAGTAATAATAATTTTAAAAGATTATCACTCTGAAGTTTGAATAATTCAGGTCCATTCAGACAGCATAACTGCAAGTTTTGAACCGACTTCAGAGACAGGCCCATATTAAATTCTCTGAAATATTATAATTTGAAGGTATGTGAGGTAGTTGTTAAAAAGCTTTGGGGACATACCGTATATTCCGGCGTATAAAACGACTTCCGCAAGCGTTAAAATCAGTGCCGAAGTCGGGGGTCGTCTTATACGCCGAGTCATCTTATACACTGGAAATATTGGTAGTTTCTGGCGTATAAGATGACGTTCTAGGCATGTGACTCGGCGCCAAAGACGGGGGTCGTCTTATACGCCGGGTCGCCTTATACGCCAGCATATATGGTAATGTATTAGAATGCTGCAAGACACTAAAATATAGAAGGTAAGGCAGACAAGCATTCAGATAATGTTTTCACGATATGGAGAATTTGATGAAGAATTTATGATCAACACAAAGCGTGCTATTTTCCTCTCCTGCTGAATATCTTGAATAAACATATATTTTTAAATGGTTTCTTTCTCTTCTCTCTTCCTCAATTTTAGGGTGTGGATCTTTACCAAGTTATGGAAGCTGGCAACTTCATCTGTGGAGCTTTGAACAAGAAAACCAGTTCTAAAGTTGCTCAAGCTTCCTTCAGTGCTTGAGCTGGAAAAGAAATGGTGGCATTCTTAAAAAGTTAAATATTTATCCATCAGTGGGCTTTTCCTGTTTATAGTTGCAGAAAACAAACATATTGTAAAAAAAAAATTTTTAAATCATCTGAAGGGAACAGTAGCACTACGATTAATATGAGACCAGTGGCAGTAATGAATTAAAAGACCAAAGTAGAAAGCCTTCACTTGAATTGCTAAATGATTTTTTTTCTCCGTGGGGTCCTTGGATGGTGCCTATTGCAACTTACCTTGGCCTCTCTATATCAGATCATGGTCAACTTCTGATGTGATGCTCTTAGAATATATATGTTTCCCTATCATGGCACTCTGTACCAACAAAAGTGCATATTTATTTGTTCACAAATGAAGTAGGCTTGCTACATGAATTAAAAAGGTAAGTTTGAGATAAACTGAACTGAGCAGGCATACTGTTACGTAATGTAGAGCTACTGAATTTGAACTTGCGATGAGTTCTCCACATCAATAGTAAAGGAACAAGCAATCAGGAAATATGCCACAATCTAGCACTTGGTAGAGCAGCCATAAATGCCTTGGGGAAAAAAATATTCATATGCTGTAATGTGTCTATACCAGGGGTAGGCAACCCAAAACATTCAAAGAGCCACTTGGACCCGTTTCCCACCAAAAACAAAACACCGGGAGCCGCAAAACCCTTTTGATATCTAAAAAGAAGATAACACTGCATATATCCTTTTTTACCTTTATTATAGGTGTGTGTGTGCTTGTGTGCGCGCGCGCACACACACACACACACACACATTAAAAATAAAAGTAAAAATATCACTCTTGGGAATATCCATACTATTAAAACAATGATCACCAAGAGAATGCTTTAAGAGAATAAAGTTACATACACACAAAGGTAAAAAAAGGATATATGCAGTGTTATCTTCATTTTAGATGTCAAAAGGGTCTCTCTCTGTCTCTCTCCCTCCCTCCCTCTCTATCTGCCCTTGGTCTGCCACTCCCCTTCCCCCACTCTCTTTCTTTCTCTCTTTCCTCTCTCTCTCCCCCTCCCTCTCTCTCTCTCTTTCTCTCTCTCTCTTTCTCCCCCCCCCCCTCCTATCTGCTACTCACCTGGCAAGCTTCAAGCTGTTGTCCAACAAGCTCAGGGGTAAGCAACCTCGTCTCTTTTATGATTCATGGACTGCAACTCCCAGAATTCCTGAGTCAGCCTAGCTGGGCTAGCTAGCTCTCTCCTGCCCTTCCTGCTTCCTGCAGAGACGCAGCAAAGGGAGGAGCTCCGCCCAGTAAGCTTTTCAGCTCCTCGGAGAACACTGTGAGTGCACTCTTTTACACACACACACACACACACAGAGAGAGAGAGAGAGAGAGAGAGAGAGAGAGAGAGAAGCAGGGAAGCGCAATTGCCTCTCTCTGTCTCTCTCTCTCTCTCTGCAAAGGCAGAGGAGGCTGGGAGCCACAGGGGAAGGCTCAAAGAGCCACATGTGGCTCCGGAGCTGCAGGTTGCCGACCTGTGGTCTATACTATCAAGATCAGAGGGGTGCAGACAGTAGTTTTCCGTGTGACACTGTATGGAAGTTGGACTTTGAAGAAGCAGGATAGAAAGAGTAGGGATGCTTTTGATGTTAGAGGTGAATCATCAGACAAATCAATCTCTTGAGTTATCATTTAAAGCATAAATGACCAGGCTCAAATTATGTTTGGACTAGCTCTCTAGAGAAGGCTCTGATGCTGGAAAAGATGGGAAAAAAAGAAAAGAGGATCACTAGCAGTAAGAGGCATGGACTTGTGATGGAGGCACCTCTTCTGAAAGCTGGAGATAATCACTAAGAATCCACACTGATTTGATGGCACATAATAGTATGCAGATTGGACTCCAAACTGTTTTAGCAATATGGGACTGTCCAAATGTGTTGAACATTATCAGCCTCAAAGCAGTTTAGGCTAGTGGTAGTGAGAAATGATAGGAGGTAGCCATCCCTGTCTAATTCAGGAAATATATGTCATAATATAATGGTGATTCTTTTAAAATGCCTTAGGATTTTATTCAATTTCCTTCCATTTTTATTTTTATATATTTGCTTAAAATGTACTGTATATGTGTACGCTTCTGGAAATATTTGTCCATGTACTAGATGATATATTTATAAAACTCTGAAAAAATATATGCAAAATATAAAATCAATAAAATAATCTGTCTCTGTTCAAAGCTCTTTTATTGAACATGGTAAATCGTCTTTGACTGACATCTCAGTCCATGTTGTACATTAATTACATATAATATATCTATATACAAACTATACATTTCTGGTCTCTATCTTAACTTATCTCTTTATTTGTGACCTCCATGTTTTTCCCCTCCATTTATAAAATTTATTCCATATTTGATAAAATTCTGTTTCTTCCTGATTTTTTAATCTTTTAGTTATCCTATCTAGTTCTGCGCAATATATAATTTTCTTTATTAGTATTTCCTCACTCGGTACTTCCATTGCTTTCCACTTTTGAGCAAATAGTATCCTTGCCGCCATAACCATGTGAAAAATTAAATATGTGTTCTCTTTATTTACATTTTTCTCTAGTATTCCTAATCATAATGCTTCAGGTTTGTATAGAACATTTTGCCTAGTCATTTCTATTGCCCATTCCCAGACCATACGCCAATACACCTGTGCTGTGCTTCTCTACATGTCCACCATACATGAAAAAAGATGCCCTTTTCTTTTTTACATTTCCAACACATAGATGAATATCCGTTATACATTTTGGCCAATCTGGCTGGAGGGAGATGCTATCTGTAAACCATCTTATACAGGTTTTCTTTATATGATGTCGCCAATGTGATTTTGTTATTTCGCTCCCATACTTGCTGCCATTGATCCATATTTATATTATATCCTAGATCTATTGCCCACGTCACCATTGTTTCTTTAACCTGCTCCTCATATAGCTTATGTTCCAACAGGTGTTTATAAATATTCTTTATTTGTTTTTTCTCTGGGCCTAGCAGTATTTTATCTAACCCCGTATCTTGTCTGTTAATACCCCATTCTTGCTTATCCTTCATGTATCTTGCTTGTATCTGGAGATAAGACCACCACTCCATGTCTATTCCTGGTTGTTTTAGCTCTTGTTTTTGTTTTAAATAACCTTCTTCTGTCAAGATGTCTTTATATACAATAGCCTTGTCTTTCCTATACAAATTGGGATATGTGACTGCCTCCAATGGCGATAGCCAAGCCGGAATCTTTGTGTAATATTGGCGTTTAACTATATTCCAGCTTTTTATTAATTCTTGCCGAACCTTATGTCTTACAAAATATTGGTGGCTTCTGCTTCTGTTCAAAGCTCTTTTAACCACTTATGTGATCAACTGCCACTCTTGGTCTCAAAGAAAACCTCACTATGCTAAAATGCCATGAAAAGGGGCACAATACAGTCAGTCTCCTATTTTGAAAATATGTATTAGAATTAGACTTGAGAAACACCAAAGCACAGCCACTGAGATAAAGATTAACCCTCAGTGCAAGAAAAGGTAACCTAAAATCATACATTGCTGCCTATTTTGGATTGCAAAAAGAGAATAATGGACAAATTGCATTTAGTTTGATGGGTAATAAGATGGATTAAGGGACTTAATTGCTTTACTTACAGCTGATCCTTTTAACTGTCTTGGATACAATAGGTTGCAGAATTTTAAAGACAGTAAGTACATTGTTAGCTCTTAATCAAGCTTTTAGTGTCTCATAAATATTTGCAGCAATTTATGAGGTCCATCGTTGTGTGTGGCCTGTTGTACAGTTTATTTCTGCAGATTATTCTTTCTGTTTCCCAAGTCATTATACTCCGAACCGAGAGCCAAAACTAGATTTGCTATGAGTAGCATTTTTACAGTGTTTTACTATGCATGACATCTGTTAAGAATATGAAGGACTTTATCTTGTTCCAAGAGTTTGTGGGAAATGGCAGCCTGCCATATTTTGCAAATTTGTGGCGTCCTCCTATAGTGACATGCATTACAGTCATTGTAATCAACTTTAATCTCTCATTTTGAGCAAATGATATTTAATACTGCTGCTGTGTTGTTAGGGTTTTTTTTAGTGAGGATGTTTAGGGCAGCAAATTTTGCTTTACTGTGCAAACTTCCTGAAAAGTTGTGGTTGTAGAGTGGCAGTGTTAATCACTCTCTCCCACAGCTCCATTCAAAAGAGAGTAGTGATATTCATGCAGATTCATCTGTGTATATACCCCTCACTCAAATAAATGAATGGCCAAATTTGGATTAGAATCATGGACTGGGAATGAAAGTAAAAAATCACTGTATAAATTGTGCCCCCTCTTCTGACAAGTAACTACTTCTGTTACAGCAGAAAAAATGGTCTTGCAGTGTTTATTTTTAAAATTAAATTCCCATTTTAAGATTTATGATTATATACTATATCCATTATATCTATTTTGCCTAGTGGCGAATCAAGAAAATGTCCATTAAAAGCCAAAAAATGGAAATGTTCAGATCATGTTCCTTATACTGGATTTTCTTAGGTGATGGCATCACAAATGAATGCAATAAGCATGCTAATTGCTATATATCAGGGGTCCCCAACTTGTGGGTCGCAGCCCATTACTGGGCTGTGGCCTCTTGGCCACCAGGCCACGTGAAGGGATGGCCAGTTTATCCTTGTGTGTGCTAGTACCAGCCTCGAGAGTCCCGCTGGTACTAGCGCTGTCTCAAGCATCCCGCCGGCGTTAGCACTGCCCTCCCCTGAGTGTCCCGCTGGCACTAGCACCATCCTGCACCAAGCGTCCCACTAGTACTAGTGCTACCCTGAGCGTCCCGCCAGTGCTAGTGGTGCCCTGAACATCCCACCAGCTAGTGCTGACCCATGCCAAGCATCCAACAAGTACTAGTACTGCCCCAAGTATCCCACTAGTGCTAGCACCACACTGCATTTCTCTCCAGCACTAGCACCAAGCATCCACCGGTGCTAGTGTTACCTCACCTCAAGCATCCCGCCGGCATTAGTACCACCCCATTTGTGGCACTCGCACTCACATGGCCCCATATGTGTATGTGCCTGCACTTGCACGTGGCCCATTTGTGCATGCGCACATGCATGTAACG